AAAATTCACAAAAAATTAACGAAAAGTCAGATGAAAGCCAAACTAAGTTTGCACACTATTTAGAAGGTGCTCTAACGATTCCAACATTTAAAACATTTTGAACATTTAAGACACTTTTAAAATTGAAAAAACGGACATCGTTAAACGAAACAGGGGACCTAAAAATGCATTCGCTATGCGAAGCATGGTCCCAAAATCGCTAAGCGAAAATCGCCCATAGGAAACATTGTTAAACGATGCATAGAATTCTTTAAAAAAAACATCGTTAAGTGAAAACATCGCTAAACGAGGCAATCGTTAAGCGAGGCACCACTGTACAGAACACGGCCAAAGAGCCCGAAAAACCCACAACAACCATAAGAACATGAGATTTGGTATTTCCTTTAAATAGATGCCAGTGCTTTTACACCTAAGCCCTGAATTTTCTTTTGCTGTCAAATTAAAATGGATTGCATGAAGCTGCTGGTGAGAGTGAAAAGTCACTTGGAGGGGTAAGATATAATTACCAGCACAATCTGTCCCTCCCTCCACTTCTTTGGAAGAGGGTGACCTTTTCAAGGTATTGTCCAGGAAAGAGTGAACGCGTATGCCTCTTTCTTAACCTAAAATCCACAACAATTGCTCCCAACACCTATGTGACAAAGAAGAGGGAAAAGGGCAACTGCTCCTAACACCTTGAAGTATGTCTATGTGACAAAGAAGAGGGAAAAGGGCAAAGGACATTGCAAAAAATAGTGTAGGTAATCCTTGTATAAACAATGTCGTGGGAAACAGCAATGTGCAGGTTTAAGGGGACCGTACAGATATGTATCCTGGAGGCTATAAGATGAAGGACATTTGCTTAGAGCCACAACCAGAACTGAAACTCCATTCAGAAACTGTGGTTAAATTGGAGGACAGCAGTCAGGTCTCTGCTCACAACCCAAGTTGGATCTTGATGAGCTCGCTTGTATAAACAATGTCATGGGAAACAGCAATGTGCAGGTTTAAGGGGACCGTACAGATATGTATCCTGGAGGCTATAAGATGAAGGACATTTGCTTAGACCCACAACCAGAACTGAAACTCCATTCAGAAACTGTGGTTAAATTGGAGGACAGCAGTCAGGTCTCTGCTCACAACCCAAGTTGGATCTTGATGAGCTCAGTGGGGCAAAGTGTTTGCACAATTATGCTGTAAAGTACCCAGGGAGTGCCCTAGCACTATTAGTGCAGTTTATAAAGTCAAAATAATAAATACATTTGCTATGCTGAGGAAAACAGTATTTTTCCTTTAAACAAAGCCCTACAAGGTTTGTTTTGATGGGGAAAACTGCAGTACTTCCCCTCCCCCACCGCTGCCATGGCAAACCTGGCTGCTTTTTGGGTGATTGCAAAAATGGGAGTCCCACATACTGCTTGCCCATTTGCCTCTTCGTACTCTAGAAGGATGGGACTGCCTTGGCTTTTGCATACTTGTTATTTACATACTAGCAGCCTAGCCACTCAATGGAAGGGATAAAAATTTAAATAAATAAATAAATAAAACCAAGAAGAGAAAAAAATGTCAGTGTCAATAGTAGCGACCTCTTTTCCATTCTGACAGTTGGGAAAAAAGTTCTAAAACTCCATTTTCAATCACCCTGTGTGTGGCTTCAATGTTTCTTTGCCATTCTACCCTTACCTGGAATGAGGAAACTGGAAATTTTCCAAAGTCTAGGTCATATTCAAGAGATCGAGGAAACTGGAAATCTACGGAAGAAACTTTCCAAAGTCTAGGTCATATTCAAGAGATAAAATCTTGTAGACCAAGACGTTCAAGGTCAAGTCATAGATTGGGACAAAGCCCTGATCCTGACTGGGTGCAGCTGGACCTTTTGGAATGCCTCATTTTGGAAGGAAAATGAAAAGCCTCCCTCTAGGAAAGGCAAAAGGTCTGGATGGGCCTCACAGTAAAGTTTCATCTGCCCTGAATTTCCCACCATTTGGTTTCAGCGGATGACCCCTATCTTGGATCTTATGAGAGAGAAACAAATGCTTCTCTGCATGAACATAAAATTACACATGATGTGAAGAAGTTGTCGCTCTGGTGTTCCTTCTTACGTGCCACTTCTCTAAGCAAAATAGTCTCAGCCGTTATGAGGTTCCCACAGGATTTTTAATTCAGACTGTTACAATACGACCAGTTTAAATGACTATCTTCACCTGAATGTTCCTGCTTCCTGAAGTGCATTAAGATTCAATGCTTCTCGAAGCACCCACTCTTTCATGTTGTATGAATTGTCCTCTTGTTTCTTCAAAAGGTTTAACAGGCGACTCTTGACTATCTTCAGGAAGGAGGCTGAGAAAGAGCACAATATGTACGAATTATAATACCTTACGTTTCAAACGCTGAAGCAAGATAAAAAGACAAGATGGCCAGAAAATTTGTATCACCTTTTTCTTATTTCCTGCAATGCTTATCGGTCACCTAAGAAAGCACAATTCCACATTTTGTTCTGGAAGCTCAGATGCTTGTTTTAACCCTTTGTTTTTGGGGAAAATAGAAGCTCTACTATTTTCCATCCAAAACGATGGAATCGGAATAGAGCTATGGGACTAGGAAGAGGGTTTTCACCTCAAATGGCAAAGAGAAGCTATGTTGGATCAGTTCAACATCCTCGTCTGCCTAGTCCTTTTGTTAAGCAATGGCTAACCAACTGCCTATGAGAGACCCCCACGAGACAAGGGCAAAACTGCTTTATGCTGTGAACATGGTAGGACTTCAGAGAATCCTACATCCCTGCAAGCTAAAACTTTGGTTCAGCTCCTATGATGTCTTGCAGACTTTTTGCAGCAATCATACAGTATATTGAGAATGATGGATGAGTCTCTTATTTGGTTGGACTTAATGAAGATGGGTTGTAGATAAGAACATCTACAGTATCTACAGTAGAGGGCTCACAATTAAAATGTTAAAATATTTTTAAAAGTGCTTAACAGCGAAAAAATATTGATAACCAATTAACTCTTAATGTTTATCAACAGATGTTTCAATTTATATTTTGACATTTCTCTTATCATTCTCACCTACTGTTACACTACAAAGGTGTCCAAATCTGACAATAAATATTTTTCTTTTCCATTCATTTTATTGTGTTCAATTCTGAATCCAAGCTAAATAAGATTATTAAAATTCAGCCAAAGGTCTAATAAATGTTTCAGTGTTGGTTCAAATTCATTTGGCAGTTCTCCAATTAAAGGTGAAATGAAAGAGTTAAGGAGACACATAATATGAATTGTGAGGGTGTTGGGGGAAAAAGATGGATGCCAATTCAAGTGTAGAAAACAAAGCAAACGATTAAAACATCTGATGCAACAGTCAATCCAAAACCAGTCACCATCTGGTGTAAACACCTAATGGGTCCAGGAAGGACAGACCAATGAGGCAGTAAGAAAAGTATGAGTGTGCTGCAAGTTGTATCTGACATACAGGGTTCCTAATAGTGTTTTCAAAATATGTGAGGCATTTAAGAAGTGGTTTTACTACTGCCACCCCCTATGTGTTTTCACAGGTAAGTGGGGATTTGAACCCAGGTCTCCTGACTCTTAGTCTGTCATTCTATCTGCTATCCCACACTGACTCTCTTAACTATTTGGTGTCCAGCTGATTCTGACTTATGGCAACTTTTTCCAGGGCTTTCTAGGCTTTGAGTGCTCAAGACTGGTTTACCGTTTTCTTCTTCTGGAGGCATTCTATGACCATGTGCCCTGTATCAGGGAAGGCTTGCCCCAGTTCACTGGCTGGAGGTCACAATACAGGACACAGACCGAATTTTAGTAGTAATAGAACTATAAAACATGATTGCTTTTGAAAGCAGGAGGATCACTAACACAGAGAGTCTATGCATAAAGTGAGTCTCACCAAATAATAATAAAACAGGTTACTCTTTTATAGGTCTGAGTGGAGAGTTCCAAAGTAACAAATAAGCATGAGCAAGAACTCATAAATGAAAACAACTATAGAAAAGCAACAATAACAGCTTTCTCTGCTAGGCTGTTTTGACTATGTGATCAGGCAATGTTTTATCTATTATAATGCCTTTGTTTGACCTCACCCAGTGAAGACAAACTTTCCAGATCCATTCTGATGCCCAAATATGGGCACTTCCCCATTCCCTGTCTTCCACTCTCCACATTCTCTCTCTCTCTTCCTCCTCACTTGCCTAAGAACATACAGGCTGGCTCTTCTTCTACAAGATGCACTGGAGAATCAAAACCCTAACCTTTGGCTCCACAGCCAGATGCTTTCACTCACTGAGCTACCATGCTGTCAATGAACCCAAAAGAGAGTGAATCATGACCTTGGGAGATGGTGAGTGCTCTAACCCTGATGTCATTCAAGAGAAAACTGGACCGCCACCCATCAGATCTGCTTTGATTTGCATTCCTGCCTGGAGCAAGGGAGTTGGACTTGATGGCCTTTCAGGCCCCTTCCAACTCCCTTACTCTCTAATTCTAGGTCTCCAACTGTAGACTCTGCAAGACATGTCACAGCTGATCCAATTATTGAACTTTCTGCTTGATCCACAAGTTTTATATCAGCTTTGTCTGATGAAGAGTTCTAGAGAACTCAAAAGCTCAAATTATTTTTATCTGTTCTATGATCAAATAAAGATCCTGCCTCACCCAGAATGTTGCTTGTAGGAATGAATTACACTGTCCTTTTTTTTCCTTCTATAGTCCATGGTGTGGGACTTAGTTGAAAGTTTTCTGAATATGCAAATATATGCTGCCCACTGGGTAACCCCTAATCTCATGTTCTTGGTACTCCCAAATAAGTTAAAGAGACACATCATGCCTTTTCCCTTCCATTGTGTCCACCTAACTAAAGCCACAAAGAAAACACACAGGGCAAAGGAAGAGTACTGGATACAATTTTAGAATGTCACAAACCATTTCTAGTATTTTTTTTTCTGTATGTGTTCGAGAGTACTCAATTGATTGATTTAACAGGCTTTTCTAATATTGCATTATTAAAAAAATATCAAAGCCATTTACAATAAAGATGAACCTGATATCTATCCCTTAGAATGTGGGGTTCATGACCTGTAGAGGTAGGACAACGTGGACAAATCCTAGGAGAGTTTTGTATTCAAACATCTTCCACTTTACAGAACTAAGTGCTTGTAGTTATTCATACCTTTCATGTCATCTTCCTCACACAGGAGACTAAGAAGAATTTCAATTCTTTTGGTGCTACGACTGGCGCCCTCATTTTGATCTCTCAGCATTCCCACAGCACTTTGCACACAGCTCCTTATAAGGATAGTGGTGTCCAAGACTTCATTCTTTCCAGCCACAGCAGAAGAAAAGAAGCCTATTAAGTTTTCTGAAATCACACAGGTGAATGCCCACGCACATTTCCTTTTCAAATCAGGAACTGATATTACCAATTAATTTCTGCCTTACGGTGGCACCTTTGCCTGTCCGCCAGCATTTGAGAACTGGTTATCAAATTCCTCACATAGCCAACAACCACTCCTTTTAGCTGGTTGGAAAAGAAGCAGTGGTAAGCAAATACAAAGGATGAGACAGCACAGTGACATAGTATGACCCCAAACCTGTAAGTAGTTGACTGGCAATGGCAATGGCCCTTGGTAGAAACACAGGAGAAAGAAAAAGAAATAACGAAAGCAGTAGGGTTTGTTAATGTATGGGCTTTCAGCAATGACAGGCAGCCAAGGAAGAAAACCAGGACATCATTAGAGACCAGTGATTCCCAACCTTGGGTCCCCGGATATTCCTGGACTAAAACTCCCAGAAGCCTTCACCTCTACTTATGTTGGCCAGGATTTCTGGGAGATGTCATCCAAGAAAATCTGGGGACCCAAGGTTGGGAACCAACCACTGTTATAGACAGAGAGGCAGTGCTAGAATTACAGCGAAAAGGAGGGAGAAATCATAATAAAATTAACAAGTGCAACCTTAATTATTGTCCCACCCCGAAGTGCAGTCTTTGCCAGTACTCCTCTTGAACTCTTATCTATCATCTGCCAGCCCATTAATAGCAGAAAAGCAGATTTCAGGAACGTGTTCAGTGCTTTTAAATTTCAGTCCAGGATCTTAACAAAGCAAAGAGACTAGCTAGGCATCATTATTTTTTCTTGATGCATCCCTGCTTCAAAAGGGCTCTAGTAAAAAGAAAAAGAATTTAGTCCCCTATGTTTTTCCCAATGACCATCAGAATTAGACTTCTACTCACCCACCCAAAATTTAGGAATGTGCCCCTTAGGAAACAAGGTTGGTTTGAGATCCAGATACATGGCATAAATTCTCTAGAAAGATCCCTCAGCCAATGTAAGTAAGAATCTTAGGCATTTGGAATATGGGGAAGGGGCAGTATTTAACTAAACCAGAGGCTAGGTAGAAGAAGAGGCCGTGCCTGGAGATATCAGATTGGTGGACATGGATAGGCAGCCAGCATTAAAAAAAAAGTGGGGGGTTGCACTATGTGTATTTGTGGACCATGTTTGAATCGAAAGCAGGAAGGGACTCAGACCCTCCTGAGTCTTCTGCTTTCTGAAACAGTAGTGGGGCTAGGGAGGAAAAAAAGATACTCCCCCAACTCTGATCATTCAAATGCTGTAGAGAGGCACTTATATACAAATGTTCTCTACTAAGAAGGGAGGATGTGAATCACTCTAAGCCCAAAATATGAAGTGCTCTTGTCTTTTTACCAAGAAACAAAGAGAATGGTTAAAACTGGAGAAGACTAGAACTTACAGTCAATGTTCCTTCTCGTGGTGTTGCTGATACCTCTACCTCCATCTCCTCTTCCTTTTCTTCCGCTCCCTCCATCATCATTGCTGTAACGATACAGATGGTATTTTTTTAGGGATGCCAGCTGGGAATGACTACAGACCATCAAAAGCTGCTTACTGAAATCCTTACACGTAGGTTTCTCTGCAGAGGCTCCCACGTCTTCAGAAAACAGTTGGCTGATAGTGATGCTTCTCAGTAGGGTTACATCGGAAACCATATCTCTCGATTTCCTTAGATCATCAATGTGCAGAGACTGCCACAGCCCTGGCAACAGATAGGAAGAGGGCATTTAAGAAAGCCTAAGAAAATATAGTTTGAACCCCTATGGGTGGTTCATGGAAGAGTAAAACAGGATTTTAAACCATCATTTATGGTAAGTTAACTACAGAGTTGATGCAAACAAATAGGCTCTTGCCTGGTTCTCCTCTTCAGATATTGTTCAAGTTATTTTAGGAAACAGGTGAAAAGGTTTTATTTCTAGTAGCACTAAACACAAGGACCCATTTGTCTGTAAATGTGAAAGCTTTTGCTAAATTAATATTTGTTTGTTTAGTCGTTTAGTCGTGTCCGACTCTTTGTGACCCCATGGACCAGAGCACGCCAGGCCCTCCTATCTTCTACTGCCTCCCGGAGTTGTGTCAAATTCATGTTGGTTGCTTCGCAGACACTGTCCAGCCATCTCATCCTCGGTCGTCCCCTTCTCCTCTTGCCATCACACTTTCCCAACATCACGGTCTTTTCCAGGGAGTCTTTTCTTCTCATTAGATGGCCAAAGTACTGGAGCCTCAGCTTCAGAATCTGTCCTTCCAGTGAGCACTCAGGGTTGATTTCCTTTAGAATTGATAGGTTTGTTCTCCTTGCAGTCCAGGGGATTCTCAAGAGTCTCCTCCAGCACCACAATTCAAAGGCATCAATTCTACGGTGGTCTGCTTTCTTTATAGTCCAGCTCTCACTTCCATACATCACGACAGGAAAAACCATAGCTTTGACTATTCGGACTTTTGTTGGCAAGGTGATGTCTCTGCTTTTTAAGATGCTGTATAGTATATAGTTTATAAATTTACCATTATTCATTTCCAATAATATTACAAAGAGTTATTTTTAGTTTTGTACATGAATTGTGTTATATTCTGCTTAACTGTATAAATAGCTTAGTACCTAACTGTATATGCGTATTATATTGAAAGTACACACATGAGCAAAGGTGTACAGTCCTTCCAGATTCCATGCACTGTAATAAAAGTTCCCTGGTATTTTTTTTTTTAGTATTTAAAACTAGGAAATGACAGCTTGTTTTGCCACCCAGTTAATACCCTTGATGAAAGAGACTAAGAATCCTGCCACAAGAGCAATTTGATTTACTGCATTTCTCCATTTTTAACGCTCAGTATAGACTTTTTATAAATATACATTTCATTTCTCCCTATCCTAGGTATTTTTGCATAGAGAATAACTGTGTTGCTTACATCATTATTCTGTATATTTGTCATTATTCATCTTCCCTGAGGACATAACTCGAAGGCAGAGGCAATATATAGCAGTACAGTTTGGTTTTAAAATGAAAATATGATGTTTAAACCAATTACAAAGTTCATTGGAGGTCCTGAAAGCAAAGTGTTCACTCCTTAGTAAGTGTAAAAAAGAGTGTGGAGCCCCCTAGAGTAAGCAACAAATATAGCTACAGCAAACAAGCTTGGAATTTAAGTATGCTTACATGGCTTACATCATCTTCCCAGCATAGGACAATGAAACAGATGCATGGGTGTGCAACCTTTACACATTAGCTGTCTAAATGAAATTTGCTAGCACCACCTCAAACTAAGATGCTGTTCACGGCAGGACACTGATGATGGCTGAATAATAATCTTGGAACTGCAGAGCTGGAAGGGACCCTATGGATCGAGTCCAGGCCCTGTCAAGCAGGCTCAGTGGGGAACTGAACTCCAAACCTTTGGCTTCGCAGCCAGGGTCCCTTCCCACTGAGCTACCCAGCAGTTCAAGCAGGCTCTGTTCTGTACTGGAGCAGAATTCTTAGTTTTATCTCTTCTTTTCAAGGGGTCACAGGAAGTTACCATGGGATGTTGGCTTTCTATACCCTCAAAAGCAGATGAGGGGGGAAAATCATTCCATTAAACTTCTGAATTCTAACAGCACTCCTAATCTGATGAAAGCCTCTTTTCCATTCTGTAACCTCGTATGAAAGAACTCGTACCTCCATGAAATCCCACATAGGCATTTCCTCCTTTCACTCGCGACAGCTTAGTGATGAAGAACACGAACACGGAGGCTTCACTCAGGTCAATTTTGCTGATTTCATTAACAGCTGAATACCTGCACAGGAAAAGAAACAGGGGGTCGCAATTTTTATCCATTCTTAGAGGAGACTGAACGTCTGTCCTGCTAACATAAACAGCTTCCATAAAGTCAACATTTTCACATTTCAGTGGTTAAAACCCTGTCACTTAGAAGAAGAGTAAGCTGAACTAGAGTAGGCCCACTGAACCAATGGGGATTTTGTGACTAAACTCATCTGTAAGTTCTATTGGGTCAAGAGGACTTACTGTAGTTGCAACTTAAGGTGTCATCAGAAGGTGCTTTATCCTGTGTTTTGGACTCCTCCTGACATGGTGACATTTGGTTTATTTTTGAGTAACTACACAAAGTACTGGTAATGGTGAAACAACCCAGCCCTTTTGCATGGCTGTTCACTAGCAGGAAACTCCAGGAGATGCAATGGAGTGGGCGCTAGTATCCTTTGCCCAGCATTAAATATCCTCCCCTTGCACTTTGAGAGACCAGGACTCTAAGAAGACCCTGCCGTTCTAACAGGACATTCACGGTGTGGTGCTGGTGGTACTGCATGGAATGCAACCCTCCAAAAAGAGAGGGAATTAAGGGCAGTGTTCCTGTTTGTCTTGGTTCCTTGGTTACAATAAAGGCAGTTCTCGGCCATTCTCACAACCTGGAGCCATGGAATTATTACTGGGAGACTTGAACACCAATGACATTGCTGTAGGTAGATCTGCCTGCATTCACAAAAACAGGTTCCAACAGACAATATGAAGGTAGCTACTAGGTACACACACAGCAATACACCAACTGCATACTTTCCCACATTTGCCTGGAGTGGACTTTGCAAAAATCAGACTTCATTTGTGTTAACTGTTAAATCTGACAATTTAATGCCACTCCAATTAAGAGACTGGAAATACTTTACATATATCTATAACATACTTGGCTGAGGCAACAAGTTGAGCACTGAGAGATCCATTTTCAAAGTCTGTCTGAATAATCAGGATTTTACTTCCATATGTTGCATAAAGAAAATTTCTGGAAAACAAATCAACAGTTAGATGCATTTTGTCACTCCTGCATGGAAATACGGATACAAGCACCTACTTCCACCTGTTTAAAACAGGACAATATCACTTCCCATAGATCTCAAAAACTTAAAGTATAATTATGAAGACTGCTAAAATTCACTTGCCCTTCATTCCATTCCAAAATGTCATCTTGACAGATGTTTTCATCTACAACTCTCCCAGGTTAAGGAAGGCAGTAACTCACCGAATTTCTTTTAAAAATGAATGTTCTGTGTCAAACTGTTGTAAAAATAGAACTCGGAGGCTGTTGATTTTGCCTTGTACTTCTGCCTCAAGAATTTCTGCGTCTGCTGCTGTCAAGAGTCTGGAGAAAGTCGTGATCTAAAACAGAAAAAAGGAAATGTCTCTGACAAGCATGAATAAAATTTTCAAGGACTGCCAAACTACTCCAAATAACACAACACTTTTGAAAAGAAAGGCAATGATACATTTTGTATTTTACTGACCATTGGGGACAGCATCTGTGTTAATCACCTCCGTGATAACACAGATGCAATTAGGGGTCTTGACTTGAGAACTTACTCCATACTGGAAGGCGGTTCTCAAGTCAAAAAGTCTGTAGGTCAAGTCTCCATTGACCTACAGTGCATTGAAAACCGATTAATCCTGTAACAGGCCGTTTTTGTTCTATTTTGGTTTGTTTCTGGTCTGTAAGTCAATTCTCAGGCTGCAAGTCAAACCTAAATTTTGCGGCCAGAGAAGTCTGTAATTCAAAAAGTCTGTAAGTCAAGCCGTCTGTAAGTCAAGGGTCCACTGCACACAAAAGCCCTCAAGGATGCGTAAAACTATGCTTTGTGTCTTGGCTCTAGGGACCAGAAAAGATCTGAAAGATGCTTCAGGTGACTGTAACTGTCTATGTAACCCCATAAAAAACTGCAGTCAGCACCTGACAAACAAACAAACACACACACACACACACACTTATGTGTGAATGAAAAACATCTGGAGCCTAATTTGCCCCTTTAAATATAAGCTCACCCTGTGATGCCTAATATCTGAATGTGTTGTTTATATAGTTTGGTTAAGTATGGGATGGGAGAGGGTAAGTGTGGCGCACGGAACCTTGGTAAGAATGGCTCTGTTTCGCTGGGAGGTAAACTAGACAAGGAGGGTGCCTGGCATGTGTGAGGCAGTCTGGAGTCAGACAGAAAACAGTCCGGTGTGGAGACGCTGGGAAGAGGGTGTTTTTAGAGTCTGGGGGCCTAAGAGAGAAGTCAGAGGGGGGAGTCTGACAGAGACCGAGGCAAGGAAGAGGTAAAAGAGACAGGGACTGAATGAATTCACAGCCAAGGAATAAACAACATTCTTGTAACATGATTTCTTAAATAAAACCTGGTTTGTTCTATTCAAGCTGAGTGGTGCTGCATTCAATATCAGAAAGGTGGTTGGCTATGTAGAGAGTATTTTATGGGGCAGAGTGAAGGGAGCAACTGAAGGCTGGTGGCAGCAGACGGAGGAAGAGAGGAAATAGGAGAAGATTACTGAAGAAAATGCATTTATTCTGGAGGTGATTTAAAGAGACCTTTATGTAAATAGCCAAGTAACAAAGCAAAGGGAGGTTTGTCATAGTCCCTCCCTCCCTTTATTTTTGGTAGAAAGAGGTCAGTCTCTAAAAAATGTCTGCCATAAAAACAGCTCCAGGGAAGATTACATTTACATGGAAAATGGCAGCTCACAAAAGACTTCCAAAAACTGATTTCCCCCTCCCTACAATATGTATATGTAACGGCAAAGGTCCACTTCAGGGCAAAATTGATCCTAGGATTAGAGATGGGCACAAACTTCCCAGCTGTACCTCCTCCAGCAGGCACCCACTCAGAGGCAGCACCCCAGGGGGTTCCCTGCTCCGCTTCCTCCAGGCACTGCCTCTGAGTGGGCACCTGCTGGAGGAGGCAGAGCTGGGAATCGCCTTAACACCTGTTCAGCCAAAAAACAAACTGGCATGAATTGCCAGTTCAGTGGTTCAAACCCATCTCTGTCCAGGATATCCAGCAGTTATCCATTACAGGCTTTTTTTTTTAAAGGCCTTATAGGCATCTTCCAACTTCATTATTCTAGGATTTCCACTTATTTTCTGATGCCTTGAACTACAAACTCTTCACAGTCCCACTGCTGGCAGTGAAGTATTTGTAATCCAATACCTCAGCCAACTTCAAAGAGACCTGTAGCTCAAGAAACAGGCATTTGTAAAGAGTAAGTTCTTCAACCAGTACTCGGATCCTAACCGCCTAGCATTTTACTGAGTATAATTGATACAGTATCCACAGGAAAAATGAATAATATATATATATAGGGAGTCCCAGATTTACCCAAGATATTTGAGTCTCTCCTGTGGAATAACCAGAGGCACCTCCCCCAATATGTAAGGTGCATAGCCAAGTTATTTAATGCCACAGGCTGCAAAAAAATCACCCAAGCACCTCTTCCCATCTTTAGCTGTACCTCTCTGCATACATATTAACAAATAAAAGTAATAAATTATTTGCTGTCTTTTCAGGGCAACTAACACTTGCTATGAGGCAAAAAACTTACCTCAGTAAAGACTGTGCGACCGAACGGCTCAGTGCCAAGGCAGACATGGAGGAAATCTGCAAGAGAAGTGTGTTGGTGCTGTTGGAAGTAAACTCTAGCCAAGTCATCGGCCTGAAAGGAACCCAGTCGTGAATTGCCAAGACGGATTACAGAATCTGGCGTTGCACAGTTCAGCAATACTAGTTTGGCCTGTTCTTTTACTTTTTGCATTAGCTCCTGAGAATGACATTCCATTTTCACTTTCTCTGTCACCTGCAGGACAACTGAGGCGCAGGTGTCAGAATGGTAGCCAACGAAAACATCAGAAGGAGTATACTTCTGCTGGCCCATGAACCGTTTTTCTGTTTCAACAGCTGTGAAGTCATGGACCCATGCCTTCAATTCCTCCACAATTTGTTTTTGCCACTTGTCTAACACAGTATTGATATCCAGGCAGTGTTTTTCAAGCCTGTTGATCAGAGGAATAGGGAACTGATTGTATACCACTTCTTTCTCCTCAATGACAATCAACCGGAACTTAGGATGGACTCTGCATTTTACACGATGGGTCCCCAAACCCAAGTCAACATACTTTTGACCAGCAAGCTGGACATAATACTGGTTCAGGGCATCATAGAGGCTTTCATAAAGATTCTGCAGGTTGAGAAGAATTACCATCTGCCCAGTCTCCATACACATCTTCACTCGATTGATGTTTCTGCAGATCTGGGTATATTCCTGGTCTTTAGGGAAACTGGAACCAAAAATAATCTCTGGCTGCTGTGTACTTTTGAAAAAAACCTGCTGGAGAATCTGAAGTGCTGCATAATTTTCTGTTAATACTAGCAGGTACCTGCATTCACCATCTTGGTAGTCACTGTAAATGTTCTGCTTAACAAGATCAATTGTACTGACATCCTCCCAGTTTACATCTCCTTTCTCTGGGATCTTAGACATAAAAATGTTCAAGGCCTCAACATCTGTTTTCCCACTGAAATTACGGAGAATTACCTCTGCTATCTCACGAGGAGCTGGAGTTCTTTTAGTTTTTTTTGTCAAAGCAAATGTCATTTTTATGAGGCTGTAGTAGTCACGCAGCCCAAAGAATTCCTTACTTTGTGCCTTGCAGATCTCTCCATAGGCATTTGCAAAGATACGGAAAAAACGCTCAACCTTCTGGAGGACAGCACGTTCTGAAGAGCAAATACCCTTTGCACTTTCTATGAGTTCCTCCTTGCTGGGATCCCCACGAGAGACAAAGATACCCCGATTCATCTTGGCTGGATCCAGAGCCCAATTAGATATCCCGATAAAGCCCACTTTTTTATAAGGGAGTGGGTCATCATCAACACATCCATCTTCCAGGAGTGGGTGAAGGGTCTTCAGAGGCATTTTCGGGGAGTCTTCAGCCAAGCCAATTTCATCTAACACTACAACAGAGACATACTCCTTCAGGTTCTTTCCTTCTTGGAAGCGAGCACAATGCTTGAAAGTACTTATGATTCCTTCAGGGGTAGAGTGTGGGCTGCACTGAAAAGACACCAAATGGATCTGCTTCAAATCTTTATAGAGTTCAGAATATGCTGCATGGCCTTGCATGGCATCAGCCACAATGGTCTTGGCAAGGGATTTTGAGCTGCCAGGTTTTCCAATTAGGAACAAAGGGATTTTAAGTTCAATGCAGATAACCATCATGAAAACATTTTCCTTCAGTGCCAGGTTCTTTGCTATTGTTTTCCTCAGAGGTGCACCACTGAGAAAAAGGTCCTGAACTAAGTCAATTTCTTCAAGAATTCCCTTTTCATTATCATATGGCTTTGGAAGGATTTTGCCGATTACTCTTCGGTAGCCTTGTTTCTTTTCCAGAGAGGCATGGTAGCAAACACCAACTGACAGAACTAAGGACCAAACAATTTTGTCTCTTGGGATGAAATCTTCAGTAGCCCCTTTCTCTGCAAAATACTTCTCCAGATGTTTCATTAGTAGTTCATTGTGATTGTGGAACCATTTGAAGACTTCTACGCAACGTTCCACATCTCTGAGACTGATAAAGCTGCACTCATCATTCCTTCTCCTCATATATTTCTGAGACTCAAAAAGCACATCGGTTATCATCTGAATTTCAGTGCCAGACATTTCTATGGACCTGGTAAGTCTTTGCACAATCTGTTGTATATACAGTTTTTCAGTGAAGTTGTTCAGCTGCCCAAAATCCCACACTAATGGTATCATACTAGGGGGAAGTGCATGGACACGATACACAAGCTGCCTAAGAGGAATGGAGCCAAGCTTATCTTTTGTTTCCTCTGCTTTAACACGGTAGCCTAAGCCAGCTGATTCCAAGCGCTCAATCATTCTGTTTGTATGCTTTCTATAAGGGTTGCATGCAGCTATGATCTGCAAGCCTGAATTATGGGTCAAGGGCTTTCCTTCTACTGTGCGATCACACAAGACTTCCTTGATACTGCTGATCGCTTCAGTAGTGTTGGCTTCATCAAAAAATAAGATTGTGTCAAAATTATAATACTGTGTATTTTTAACGGCAATGTCCTGTGCTTCCTTGACTTTGGCATAGATTACATCTGCTGTAGTACCTCCATGCACTTTGACCAGCTTCATGTTATCAGCAGTGGCACCACTCCTACGTAGTTCACAGAGGAATTTTATAAGCCTTGTTTTTCCACAGCCAGTTTCTCCCATGAGGACAACAGGGATTCCACACCTGAACCTCATCTCAATAGCAAGGATCTTTAATATATTGTCTGTTGTGAGCTCATATGTTTCATCAGGATCAATTGGCCAAGAAATTCCTAAAACCATGCAAAGTTTCTCGATTTTCTCATGTCTGGGTAGTGCATCAAAATCAATGTTGAATGGAACCTTCTGAAGGACCAGTCCTTGGTATAGCTGAGCAGTCATCACATTGCTCTTGATGACATGTCCATTCAAAGGATTGATAGCATCAATACCACCATTAGCATTGGGGTGAAGGTGAAAACCAATGAATGTCATGGATTCAGAGTCCTCATTGAAGAAAATATATGGGTGTGGTTCAGATTCCCACTTTTTCCGAATACGAAATGGAGCAAGGTCTTCTTCTGTGACTCCTTCCATGGCAAAAACCTGCCTCCCAGGGCTCTCATCAGAAATGTTAAGGGATGGTGTTGCAAAATCCTTTGCCATTAAAATCATAAAACCAACCACAAAGTTTTTGAAGCCCTGCAAAGTATCCTGAATAAAATCAAGGTTACAGAATACTGAGGTTTCACAATTTCTTAGCTGAAGGTTCAGGAACCATGCAAAGTTCCTCAGTTCTGACCAAGAAGGATCTATCACTCCACAATGAATCAGAAGCAGCTGTAGGCATTCGGCTGGAGTCCCTTCAACTGAGTGTTTTTTATACTGGAATGTGTCAACACTAACTCCTCTGCTGAATCTTCTTAAGTACTGGAAGGGTCTCTGAAAAGCTTCACTGCAGAACACTTCTTGATCTATGCCTGGGTCTGAGGGGCCATGATTTGGTTTCTCCTGGGTTTCCCATTCTAGTACTTCCTTGGGAGGTCTGCAGGTTATTTTAGGGAATACATCAAGGAAGTTGTATTTCATTCCTGGAAAAATCTGAAAAAGGAGGAGGGGAGATTAAATTATTGTATGATCACAGACTTGATTCATTGATGCCATTTATTTCTCCTTTCCTCATATCTCTTACAATGTTTCCACAGTATTTTAATGTTTTAGTATTCATAAGGCAAGTATTGTACAACAGTGAAGTATTTATGATAAACAAATCGCATCAAGCCTGCTGTAGTTAGCCAAAGCCTTAAACAAGGTGAGAGGAAGGAAGTCCTTTTACTCCTCCAGTCTTCCATCCCCTACTGAACTACGGCACACACTTTGAGCAAAGGTGAGGGCTAAGTCTGTTACTTAAAACAACTATGGTTTCCATGCTCTAGGGAACACATAAAGAATGTTCCTTGCCACCAGGAAGATGCTTTTATTCAGGTTGAGTGGATGGACACTGAGAACTGACACACTTTTCTAGAAGAACAGTTAGAAAAGCAACTTCTGCGTAAGAAACTGCATGGAGCTGCACTGAAGTACATATCAGCTGTTCACTGTGAAGATGAACTCCAACTGGGGTGAGTATGATAACTCATGTTTATATTCTGAGGCCTCTGTTTGGTTTAAATGTTTTTATATAAGAGGGTATAAAGAGAAAACATTCAAAAAAGTATTTTTCTTCTAGAATGATGCACAGTATTTCTTTATTAAAATTTTACTTCACATGTGCCGCCTACAGTAATCTTAACATGCATCCATTTTAGGTAATAAACCCATTAATTTAGCTTTTATTTAACTGATTAAGTCAGTTAAAAGGCAGACAGTTATTCAATCAAAAGTGTTTTCTAACGGCCATATGCTAAGATGGGCCATTTTAGTACCTAAGAGTCATGTTCTGTTGCAGACTCCACTGTGAAGTAGACCGAGGCTGCCCCTGGGCGCCCAAATTGTCCTGCTCCGGATCACAATACACTGTCTTAAACAGGGCCACTCTGACGTGTGATATGTCATTTCAGGCATGTCTACTGTGAGAAGAGTAGAGAGGCTCCGAAGCAAGCTGAGGACATCCTCCTTTCACGGCAGAAAGACAGGGGCAAAGGTGCAGAGGTGGGATATACTCTGAGAACACAAGGCTAGGGATCTGGAACATTCCAAAGGACCATCTGCACAGGTGCAGAACACTCCTTGTGGGAATACATAGAGGCCACAAAAAAGAAGAAAACAGTCAAAACTTTAATAATCCCTCCTTGTCCCCTCCTCCATGGGGGAGCAGTTCCGCTTTCACTAAATTGGTCCCATTTGGAGAAAAGTTCTTCTGTTAGGGTATATTTGGAATTCATTAAGATTCAGAAATATTCCACAAAACAGGAAGTATACCTTCCCTTTTATTTAAATCTATTTTTCTTTTGTTCCACTTTATTTTCTGGCTCTGGATAGAAGACGCTTTGTACCCCCCCCACAATAAACTGAAACTTACATTGAGACCAGAAAATATCCCACAACTCATACAATGGACATGCTCTTCATGTAGTTAAGCCAATCAGAAATGTTATTCAATATAAATTTACTAATAAAATCCCGTAATATATAAATAAAGGGCACAGATTAAAAATAATGCAGCACAATCCTAACCTCTGTATCTACAGAAAAGTGGAGGCACCTTTTTTTAGTTTAAAGGGAGCTCTGCAAATGCAGAATCCCCATCTGTTCTGGGGACTCAGTTTTGCCAGTGGTAGCTAAAACAAGGGCCCCAAATGAAGTCTCTCTGTATCCACTAGATCCAAGTTCTCATTGATGTAGGGTTACTAAGGAGAGGGTGTCACTTGGCCATGCTAGACCATAACTGGCATAGATAACCATTGCCCCCAACTTTAGAATGTGTGATGGCTTTTTAAGAGAAAGGAACTGTTCTGCCAGGTTAAGTCTCATCCTACTCCCAGCTCTGGCTGGCACAAACCTGAGGGATATAAGAACAGAAGTCGCAAAGTATTTGCAGCTTATCTTACCCTCTCTTTGTAATTTTGTATATATTTCTTCAACATTTGGCCCCCTGCCCTCATAGTGTGTCATCATGATTACAAGATGGCCAAATAATTCTGGCTTGTGACCAAACAGCCTTGAATTGGAAAGGAAGGAGAGGAGTTCCTGATCTGAATCTCCTCACCCACTGGTGAACAACCGTCAGATTCATTCATGGGTCACAGAGGGTTGCAGTGCTTTCTACCCCTAATGTTCATCTGTTATGTGTTTTTGAAAGTGTTTTAAGTTAGAATTATGGGAGGATATGGAGCCCAAGAGGCCCCTCAAAACATGAGAAAAGAGGCTCAATGCCTCTTAGAGGGTACAAGGTGAATTTCTCTGCAATTTTGTTTTAAAATATTTTGACTTTCGGGAAGAAGCATGTGTAGGTGGCTGGGGCCCCTCAAAAATGCCCGTGGGAGTTCTGTGAGGCCTACAGTAAGCAATCAAATAGAAATTCTGTAATAGGATTCTATGGATTATAAACTATTTAATACTAGCAAATTAAGAATATGTGAGAGAATATCCATGGGTACTCACAGATCTAGTTTGGTTTTTTTGTGATGGAGATGCTTCAAGAATTTCGACAACATACAAGTGATACTGGTTCCGCAGCCAGAGTTTTCCATCAGTATCTGCCAGGTAGTGTAAAACTAACAGCTTGAACAAAAATTCTGAAATTCCAGTCTGTACCTAAGAGAATAATGAAATGCAATAATTCAGCGAAGAGAGATATCTCTTCTCCTCAGTAATTTATGAATTACAAAAATCTCTACTAATAAAATATCTTATTGAGTATATTGATTGCAACGAGTGAACAGCTTACATCAATACTGGAGTATACTCACTGAAGAAGTGATATCAAAATGAAATATCACTGGCTGCTTCTGGTATTTATGGTGTAGAAATGGAAGGAGAGACTTCAGTACTTTTCCTTCATCCACACAGGAATCTATCAGTCGAATAGTTATCAGCGGCACCTTCTTCTGCATTTTTGCTTCCATTTTCTCATGCAGCCTCTTTACATAGAGAGATTTTCCTATTTTTATAAACAAAGTCAAATTAAAAGACACAGAAGAGAAATAAAAACACACCAGACTAATTTAAGACAGAACTCCAGAGTTTGGCCTATTTCTATCAACACTGTTGTTATTTTTATGAATGTCTTGCTAGCCACCAAAGTAGACTTCGGTCTACATGGGTGGGGTATAAATTAATTAATTAATTACACACGTAGGAAGAACAGGTAGTGGGGTAGGATTACTCTAATGCACTTATTGGTGCAGATACTAGGTACAGTGGTGCCTTGCATAGCGATCGCTCCGTTTAGCGACAAAATCGCTTTGCGACGAAGATTTTGCGAGCGCTTTCGCGACTGCTTTGCAATGTTCCCTATGGGGTATTTTCGCTTTGCGATGACCGATCATCACAAAGTGACCATTTTCGCACAGCTGATCAGTGGTTTCAAAATGGCCACCGGGGAAAAACATGGCCGCCCGCTGTTTTCTGGGACGGATTCCTCGCTCAAGAGGCACCAGAAATGGCCGCGCTATGGAGGATCTCCGCTGAACTGTGAGTTTTAAGCCCACAGGAACGCATTAATCGTGTTTCAATGCGTTTCTATGAGCTTTTTTATTTCACATTGCGACGTTTTCGTTCAACAGCGATTTCGCTGGAACGAATTAATGTCGCAATGCGAGGCACCACTGTATATCACTACCTGACTCCCCCTATCCCAGCATATGCCAGTCAGAGCTGATACTTTCTGTAACAAAATTTGTTACAGTAATTTTGTAACAAAACTGTGTTATGGCCATCTGTTTCTTTCTTGGTTAGATTTATCAAGGCCCAAAGAAAAACGTTCTTGATTATCTCAAAAGATAAATGTTGCAAAAGAATGGAATCCAAACTTTGGTTCAGAATTCCAACACTTCAGTTGGTCTGAAGCACCTGAGCTTTTTAAAATTTAAAATAGAAACAAAGCCAGCAACAGAACAGCTTGTTACAAATTAAGGAAGTTAAAATCCATTAACTGAAATGCACACAAAAAACGAGAGGAGGAAGACTGGAGATTTCAGTAACACGTTTTCACTAAGAATGTTGTCAGTATCGGGAGACTGGAGGCCATATACATGGTACAATAACCTCTCAGCAGCAGATTTTAGGCTAAAGACACAATGCTAAACTACAATTTAGACCAATGAGAACTATTTGCAACAGATCTCAAACTTGCACATGCATCTCCCTCCCTTCTCCTCCTCTAGCTTGGTGCAAGGAATTCAGAACATTCTACTACCAGTTTTAATTAACAAAGCTTTATCTGAACCCTGAACTGTAGATAATTATAATTCTGGCTTGCTTAAACAAACTTGTTTCATATATATTTCCAAATTAGTTTCTGTCAAATAAGCTACATTTAATGTTAACCACAGAATTCAGGAAACAGAAATAACTGGCATTTAACCTTAACAAAGTAAAAGCTTACAAGCTCCTCCTGGCAGCCACACTGGAGGAGACAGGAGAACACATGTACATGCCCAAGGGCTTACTGAATTTCATTTTTTGTCACAATCAACTATGGTGTATTGTAGGGGTGTTGCTTGCCATCCTCCAGAAACTGCTGGACTGAAACTCTAATTTCCCCTTATGTTTGGCTATTCTGGCTAGGGATGATGGAAGTTGTAGTCCAACAGCATTGGTAAGGATGCAAGTTGCCCACCAGTGGTTTAGGTGTAATGACCAAACTGGGCCTAAATACTCTCAGATCAAGATGTAAGACTCAATTTGGTTTAGTTCCCTTACCTACGCCAGCTCTTTTGGAAGATACAATGCCAACGCACATCTGATCCTTGAAGATACCAGAGGAATTATCAGGTTGCATGACTCTATAATGATTCCCAAGGTAACTCTGAATGTGACTTAGCGGCTGGTGAGGGATCATGTGAACTTTGTATTGACTGAAGACAGAAGGGACATAGCAGTGCTCTCTCTCACAGTTGCAGAGGATCACTAGACAATAATCATCCTTATGCTTTAAATGAAGGCTCTGGAACAATTCCTCGGACCTGTAGCCAACATCATAGCTTAATTCATCTGCAAACAACAAGGTGTAAATCTTCCTGCCCTTGCACCCTGGCGTGAGGCACCTTCTCAAAAACAGTGCCACCTGCTCAAAGCTGGTGTGAGGTGTGCACAGCAGGACCTCATCATAAGAGGGTAGCATCTCCCCAGGACTATTCATGTAGACAGCCAGCGCTGAAGCCAGAATTTCAGAACGAGGACAGAGAATGAGGTTGGGCCTGCCAGTATGAAGACCTGGTGGTAATGTTCTTGTAACACTCCTCCTCTCCAAATCAGCCAATCTGTTCAGGTAAACGCCAAGGGATTCAATGTCCAAGTAGCCTGGAAGGAATGAGCCTATATTTTCCATGTAGGACTCCCAGATACATTCCAGCTGTGCTGTCAACTCTCTCTCCATTTCCACTTCACCAAAAAGATCAACAAAACTCCTCTTGGGTTTTCTAGATACCACCTGTCTGGAGACCTGAGCTTCTTTTTTGCTGCAGTCCTGCTTTACGAAGGACAGCATCATAAGGGCGGCCTCAGTGGGGCTCTCTGAACCAAGCTCCTTACACAGAAATACAAGCTGTTCAGCTGTGTAGTAATTCAGGTAAAAGTACTGAGATCGCTTTTCAGATATGAAGCGGTTCCATCTCTCCAGAAAGCTTTCCATTTTCCGGCATATCTCTGGGAGAACTTTGGTCACTTCTCCATTTCCAAGAAGGCAAGAGTTAGTATTCAAATTGAAGTCTATTTCAATACAAAACTCATTCTGAGGTGAGCAATATATATTAGCCATCCAAGATCGGAAGAGCTTATTTCCAGCAGAATAAAGGTCTATGAAGGATAGTGCAAGTCTTTGGACACCAGAAAATACCTGGGCACAGAACAAACAAGCACAGCATAGGATGAACTGTAACAACAGGTATAAACCACATCTTAGCTACAGTCAATCTATTACATGGCTAAAACACGTCTTTGCAAGCCCTGTTTGGTTAGACACAAAAGAGCACCAGTAGAGGCTCTAGGAATCTTCAAAAATCTTTATTCCATCTTTCAGCTTGAAAAAGAATTTTCACATTGCCTTGCAAAAAAATTATATAAATGGCATGACATTCAACGAAATAATAACAATAAAAAGTAGCAGAGCCATCAATATGAACAAGGAAGTGCATGCAATTAAAGACAGAGGTACCAAACATAAAGATAGCACACCAAGAATTGCGTTACTTATCATTACTCTTCTGTTTCGTGACATTCAAACTATTTGGAGATTGCATTTTCGAAGGCTTTCACGGCCAGGATCCAATGGTTGTTGTAGGTTTTAATATTCAACTATCCCACAAAACTGCACCACAGCACAGACAGGGTTCTGACTCCTGTCCTCTGAAGATGCCAGCCACAGAGACTGGCAAAACGTTAGGAAGGACAATCTTCAGAACACGGCCAAATTCGAAAAACCTACAACTATTTGGAGATTATTCTAATCCCCAAATTATGAAACAGATCATGAAACTTTTTTTCAAAATATGGTTGGTTAAACATTGCTGGGGCAGGGGTGGAAAATGAATGTATCTTTTGGGACATCCTTTAAAAATGTCCCATGATTTAACAATAACAACAATAATAACATAGACCATCTGTAGGCCACGCTAAGAAGGAAGATTCAATTGTTAGCTTATATATTTGTGAAGGCAAGGCATAATCAATCGAAAGCTTTTTGAACAACATGGTAAAATCAGTGACCAAATCCCACAAAGAAAGAAATATGGCATAAAGAGAAGATTGAGAACAAGGAAAGATTTTTTTAAAGAAACTTAGGAGAGAGAGAAAGAGAGAGTTACTAATGATGTCACTCTATCAGCAGACAAAAAATAAAAATAAAAAGACCTGAGAAGCTCAAGCACATATGCACCAGATAAAGCACCATAGGTGAGTAGAGTGGGGTTTCCTGCCTAAAGAACCCAGGCTCAAAGCGTTCTGGATGATCCTCTGCACAGAGGCAGAGGTCCATCTGAGTAATTCATATATGACCACTCAAAGCATCCTCCCACCATACATCATTTAGTACAGTGGTGCCTCGCTTAACGATTACCTCATTAAACAATGAATCTGCTTTACAATGAGGTTTTATAGGGAAAATTTGCTTGACGATGATCAGTCCCCTGCTTCAGGAACTGATTTTTTCGCTAGACGATGATTCTAAAACAGCTGATCGGCGGCTCTAAAATGGCCGCCCGCTGTGCTAAATGGCTCCCCACTGTGCTTTAGGACGGATTCCTCACTTTACAGGCACTGAAAATGGCCGCCCTATGGAGGATCTTCGCTGGACGCTAAGGTATTTAGCCCATCGGAACGCATTGAACTGGTTTTCAATGCATTTCAATGGGCTTTTTCGTTTCGCTTGATGAGGATTTAGCTTAACATTGATTTCAATGGAACAAATTATCCTCATCAAGCGAGGCACCACTGTATTATGATCATCAAAATCCTGCTTGTTTCTTCCTTACATGCGATGCCCTCTTGCAAATATGGTTACCTTTTTTCTCCAACTGTGCACGGTAGCATTCTTTAACCCACTGTGTGCACCTTGATGCTTTCACGAAAATGATTTTTAGCCTGTACAGCTGCAAGCCAAAGATTACTTAGACAATCATAGAAAATGTAGCTTGTGAACCAGTTACGCTCCAGGACTATTTAAAAAAGACAAAGAAAAGTTCAACTTAAAGCTTACCTCTGAAAACCTGTCCACTTCTGCACTTTGTTCTACCTTTCCAGACATTAGCATCAGCTTGTTCATCAATTCTCTGAGCTCTTCCAGAGAATACTGCCGTGTCTCCAATTGACCACCATGACTCTCTGGGATGGATAGCCACAAGACAGAATCTAAAGAAACCTTCCAACAAATAATAAAGAATACAAATGAATGTGACTTTTGTTTCAATTCTTCATGCAGGTATACAATTTCTCCCCAGGGACATTTCAAATGTATTATATGCAACATAACAGAAAAATGCAGTAAATGCTACCAAAAGAAAGCAGTCAAGGGGTAATAAATTCTCATGTTTTCAGTAGAGATGGGCATGACCTGGAAAACTGGTGGCTTATGGTTAGCCATGAACCCTCAGAAAAACAAACTGGTTTGCGGTTCGTTTTTCCAGTTTGTGCCCAGGGAACCTACCTGTTACTACCTTCTGCCTCCTCTGCCGCCTGCCCGCCCACTGCCTGTGCTACCCACATGCCACCGCCATTGCCTATTCTGCCATCTCCACCATTCACAGAGGCGGTGGGCCCAATTTCCCTTCCTGGGGCTGGACCCACTTCTTCAGCGCCCGCCTATCAGCTGGGTGGCAGGCAGATTAGAGGCAACAGGCTGGGCACTGGGAAGGGAAACCCAGGCCCATTGCCTCTGAGGATGGGGCAGGGGCCTGACCCCCTAGGGAGGTGATGGGGGCAGTGGGAAGGGGATGGGCAAGAGCGTCTCCTTTGGTTGTTGGAGTCACGAACTTAGACTGATGGGCTTTGTGGTGATCACCAGATAATTAGGATAGCAAAAAGTCTCTTAGAAATAGAGGTTAAAGAAGTCAGCCACACATACAGGGATGTCTGCCAGCAGTGCTCCTGGTGGGTGACTAGTCAAGGAAGCAGAATGAGAAGACTGATCTCCCAAGGATCTTTGCCCAACCGATTCTGCCCTGCCCCCAGGAGGACTGTGCTTTTATTTTAACATTAGAAGCTCACAGATAGTGACAGTATAGAGATAGGTTACAGCAGGGGTGGGGAATTAATTTCTATAGGGGGGCCACATGAAAAATCTGAATTGTGTTCGGGGACCGAACCAACTTTACTTAAAAATAAAATGAAACAGTGATGTTATGATTAAAATAAAAACAAACTTGTTAAACTTCACAAATACTAAAGAGGTTTTTTGCAGTATGTTAAAGAGAAGCAACTGATCAAATTTAGAGAAAAAGCTATAAATGGTTTTGATGTCTGGCAGGCTGGACAGGAGTGGCTCGCAAGCCGTACATGGCCCTCAGGCCGCACTTTGCCCAGGTCTGGGTTACAGGGTTCAGATAAGGCAATAGTTACATCACGCCTTTAGGATTGGCCTAGCGAAATGCAATTAAGCAAGTTCTCTATCACCTATGAAAAAGAGGAAGAATCGCAATGAAGCAAGCTCTCTATCACCTATGAAAAAGAAGGAAGAATGGTGGCAACTCCCCCTCTCAGAAGCAGCTATGATAGACTAAGGTATGTTATACTGCTTGGACTAGAACCTTGCTTTAAGGTCTGGGTTTGGTTACTTCTCAAAGACGAAGGCTCTGCTCTCCTAGTGTTTATTCACAATTTTAATACTCCTCATTACATCACCATCTACTCTTCGGGAAATGTAATCCAAGAGTTCCAGTATTTTTTTCTCCAGAAAAACAATGACAATATGGTTCGACAGCCTGACTATCAGTCAGATCTGCTTTGATTAGGATTTCTACACTGAGCAGGGTGTTGGACTCTATGGCCTGGCCAAACAAAACGATGCACCAAGAGGGAAAAAAGTTTGGTGCTTCCTTTTGCTTCGGCAGAATGGGATTCCCAAAATGTTTCATGCACCGAACCATCAGCCGGCCCTATTTGTCAGTTTTTCTTGTTTGTGGCTTTCTTTTAATACTGTCATTTATCAAGATTACCTCAACATTAGAAAAAGTACTGCTCAAAATATTATTACTACAGTGGTCCTATTCAGGCATAGAACTATCTGAACAGGGGGGGAAACTCTAGCCTCCCCAATCCCCCACCCCCAAACTGTCACTGTTTTTATAGAGAGAGCAAAAGTCTCTGCTACAGAAGGAGTCTCTTCATGTGACTATAGACCAAAACAACCAGGGTCTTTGACTGCCTGGAGAGATTTTCCTCTTCATCCTGTTCAGTGGAGACAGTGAAAGGAGGAAAGAACTTTCTCCCTGGTCACAAATTTAAATCAACTCTTTTCTGAAGACCTGAACAGGGTTAACAAAACACCACAGTCAACAAAGAAAGGAGTGTAACTGTGCTACACCACCTGTAGTAATAAATGACAATCTACATCCATTTAATCATCAGTTTTAAATTAATGAAACCCAAATACCTGAAATCCGGTATGCATGCCGAGGGGATCATAAGGTTGTGTATCCTAGAGTTATGTTATTTACTGAATGAATTGACTGATAAATTAAAAGTTCTCTGTAGCCTGTAGCACTACTTTCAGCCATTAGGTGTCAGAATCTCCCCCAATGGAAAAGTCAGTTTATCCACAAGAACTCTGTGCAATTCTCTACTAATTCACACAATCTGGCACTTATGTGGGTAAATAATGTGGCTTGGAATATTGGTGCTATAATGTTAAACCCAGTAGATGTACATTTTTCAACATAGAAGAAAAAGTTATAGAGAGATAAGCAAAAAGGTTACAAGAACTGGTACAGAATGATGATTCAGATTCTTTGGAGAAATATCTTACCTTCCCACCTTCAGATGGGGCCCTAATGTTGTAAATTCCATTTTTATTGATTGTAGTTGCCAGTGATATAGATGACAGTTCCACAGAGCCATGGCTCTCTTTTATGGTTTTTAGCCATTCCAGGTATCTTGCAGAATCACGCTGGAGGATGCAGTGCAAAGATACAATCTGGATTAGTTAAACACTTAAGCAGTTAATCCCCATATCTTTGTCCAAATCAAATCTCACCGTAGTTAGACTAGGCAATGGCATTAACCAAGCCACACACCCCCCCGGTGGAATGGACTAGAACTGAGTTCTAGCATCTTTCCTTCTATTAATTAATTATCAGACTTGAATTTTTATGTTTTAAAGTTATTTATTTATTTATTT